ACACACAGTCTTACAATTGGATTAGAAGAATTGAAGGGGAAAATAGGGAAAATAAAAAATTGCGTAATAAAAGTCTACTTTTTACGGCTTTGATTTTTGTCTTCTTTGTCATTTTTATTTTTAAATTTGTTCTATTATCTCTTTTTTGATTTCTTACGACAAATACGAAAACAGCGAGCGATCACTCCGTCAACGCGGATCAATTCTATTTCTAATGAGCTTATACAACGACAAAAAAAAAAACTTTCAGAAATCTTTCAAAGAGACGATAAATAATTAACAAAAATTGCACGATCTATCCCGGCTCTTTCTCTCTCTTTCTCTCTTTCTATCTTGACGTTCACAATACGAGAATTCAATATTATTTTTATGAGAGCGAAACGAGACGGTATATGTAATATATAATAATTATATTTTTTTTTGGTTTTCGGTTTAATTTTTGGCTTTATTACGTTGACTTTCTTTTTCGAACTACGACGAACAAACGAAAAATTGTTGTTATGCAAAACATAATGTGAGATTCTTGGCAAAATATCGTTTTACTCGTAATTTTTTTCTTTTTTGTTTCTTTTTTTGTTATTTTTTTTTTTTTTTGGTTTCTTTTTCTTTCCTTTCTCTTTTTTCTCTCCTCGTAATTTGTCACTAAATATTATCATTTTATGTCGCCATAATATTTTTATACGTATAATATAGATTTATATAATATCGAATATAATATGAACCGTTTTACAATTAATAAGGATCACAGCCATAGCTTTGAATACGAATGTATTTAGCTTCGTATTTTTTAAGACCAGTATAATTATAATTCGATAGCGGCAATCATAAGAATAAGTTTCTCCAGTTCTTTGCTATTACCTAAAACGCTAGATACTAAAAACTAAACATCGATTACATAGAGAAACTTAGATGAGAAGATAGTCGAGCTATAAAATTACTATCTAAACGAGAGAAAACGAACGACTAGAAATTCTTTTTATATATCGTTTACGTCAAATCATTTAATTAACAATTCATTTTAATATCAAATGTGTAAAAAGAACGAACAAAATCTAAAAGATTTTAACTCACGAATAATCTACACAAATCATATATACATGTATATAATAAATATAAAACGTGTAACAGAAATATATATATATTATATATAAAAAATTTTCGATTAAACTCGACTATCGTATCCTAATGATCTAACAAACGTCAACTCGTCGTGTCTCGATTGACGTCAAATTTAAAAAGAAAAAATAGAGAGAGAGAGAGAACGAGATGATAGGTTAAGCCACGAGATTGAAGATCGAGGATCCTTGCTGCCTAGAAAAAATAAAAATTTGACGAACGACGATGTTGGCAGGAGCAAACACTCGATCGACGATCATCAGGACGAGGACAAAAAATTCCTATTTCCTTTTTTTTGTTTTATTCTTTTTTCCTTTTTCCTTTTATTTTTTTAAATTGACGTTCGTTTCGACGAACTCGTCGACGAATTTGTCTTTTATCTCTCTCTCTCTCTCTTTCTCTTTCTTTCTATCTCTTTTCTTTTTACCTTTGGTTCGACGAGACGACGACATCGAATTTCACTACGTCCACTACGCACACGTCTACGTATATCGTGTATGTGTATGTAACTCTTTCTATGTTTGTTGTGCATGCGCATGTGTGCATGTGTATATATGAGAGTATATATAATATGTATATATATATACTTGTGTATATGTATATAGTATATTCATGTATATAACTATATAATATATAATCTCTCTCTACACGTTCGAGGATAGAACTCGTCCCGCTTCCTCTTTTCCCTCGGAAATCGTAGAATTGAATTTTGATCCTCTTAACCTGATTCAAGCGTCGATTCCAAATTAATTCCCGTGATTACAGTGTACGCCGTCGAAGGCGTCCGTTTCGTTTCTCGATTAACGATCGAACGCTTATGATTATATCGAAATATTACTTTCATATACATATAATTATGATTTATATATATGGTGTGTGTGGTATAATATAATAGTACGATAGGAATAGTTGTTTCTTTTAACTTTTGCTTTTCTTTTATTTTATTTTTTTGTGTCTATTATATTTCTTTTTTGATTTTTGTTTACATCTCTGACACCATGGACGGATCTATGTAATAATTTGATTGATCATATATTCGTCAAATATATTTTTTCTTCTTTATTTTATTTGAATAGAATTCCGAGAGACAATTTAGAAGAAGCGGGTCTACGAAAAAACAGACTAGAGACCCGTTTGTGCAGCCGACGAAGATAAGGTGACTTTCTTTATCTTTTTGTTCACTTAGGAAAGCGTGCATCGGTGGGTCTAAACTACGGCTAAGTAGTCAGGAGGGACCGTGATATCGGACGTACGTTCACTTATAAACCACCCTAGGAGGCTAATTACGTTTTTTTTTTTCTTTACTCGAGAAAAGTGAGAACAAGATTTTTCTATCCATTCGAAATAGACAATTGAGAATATAAACGTTGCTTTTCTTACTACTTTTATTACGCGTCCGACTATTTCTAACTAATATAAGAAGAACGATTATTTTTCGTTAGATTTCGACGAAGACTAAACGATTGAAAGAAGAAGAAGAAGAAGAAAACTTCGCGATGAGATATATTACTTTGGAAGAAATCGTTCTTTCGTAGAAATCTTTAAAGATGCCCGACCGTGGTACATAAATTTGTGAAACTTTTTTTCGGCGCGTGATTGAATACTTTGAAGAAAAACAAATACGCTGAAAATTCTCGACGAAATCTATTACCTATAGGTTTTTATCTTTTTCGTTTGTTGTTTGTAAGATCGCTATTTTATATCGCATCCTCGATCATTTTTTTTTTTCAAGTTCCAATCGTATCGATCAAAGATATTTTCATTCGAACGAAATCCACGAAAATTGTCGAATCTACGCGAGTCGGACGGCAAATGCTATAAAATAACAAAAGGAATAGAGAAGTTCGCGTCTAACTAAGCGAACTTTACGCTAAATCTACTAAGGACTAGAATCGGCTAGAGAAAGCATCAAACTTCAATTACGTACCTCTAAATACCTACCTATTTCTAAATTAATTTATACAGACATCGATGAGGTTTCTTAGTAAAAGTATATATATATATATAGATATATATATTTATACACACAGGGTGAATCAAAATTTCTTAGATGATTTTTCAAGTCAATTGAATTTCTAAGAATTGTTGATACACCCTGTATAAATATACATGTACCCGATTTTTCTGTAAAACACGAGACGGACACTATATTTCTCTCTCTTTCTCTCTCGTTTCTTTTCTTTTTTATACATCTATGTATGTGTGTGTTGCGTTGAAAGAGTTTCGTGGTTTAAAAGAGAATCGTGAGATTAGCTATATTGTTGATTTTAACGTACTCGCGAGAGGAATCTTTCTGGCCGTTCTCGAGTTACAAAAAATCCGTTAAACCCTGTAACACGTAACTCCACTCGACTAAATGGCCACACCGAATCCGATTGGATTCGATTACCTTGTCTCCCCTCGAGCCCCCTTATCTACATCCTATCCACCCACTATTCTCTACCGACCCTTCTTCTATCTCCTTCCTTGTTAATCCAACCAGAGGAGAACAGAATCGAACTCTCATTTCTTTTCTATCTATCTTCCTTTCTTCCTTCCTTTCTTTTTCTTTCTTCATTTCTTCTTTTCTCTCTTTTTTTTCTAATGCTAAATACAAAAAAAAATCTAAAAAGATTGCGGCCGAATAAACCGAAATGAGAGAAGAGAAATATATATATACACGTATGTATTGGTGCATGTGTGTACGTATGTATATATATATATATGTATATATATATATAAGCAATGGCAGAGAGATTCGCAAAAATCTACTCTGTTTAATTAGGTACTCTTTTGCGTTTACTCGTTCCGGAACAACTTCAGGAACGTGACCGTCTACGTTGCTAGAAGATTAGAAGACGCGCCCGGACGAAGGAAAATTTTCCAAAGAGACGACGTATATCGTGTGTTATACACTCTTGTCCTCGTTCATTCGATTAATTTTACAATATTAAAATACTGTACATTGTGTGTGTATATATTAATTTCGTTTAATTTACCGTACCACCAAATGGGTACAACGCATCTTAACAAAAATTCAAATTATTTCGAGAGAAAACTAAATAACATTAAGAATATTGAATATATTGCACGTAAATTTGAATAACAATGACCGATCCAAAAATCGAATCAAATGAACCAATATAGCACATATTACGTGATTAATAATACTCAAAACGAGATCAGCTGATTCCTTTTACCAACGCATGATGATATCCGTCCGTAAGGATTCGAAATGATATTAGGGTGAATCAAAAGAGTTCGTAAGTTTATTTTATTATAAACTGCATAATGGATTATTTTTTCTGTAAAATTTACTTTGGATATATCAATTAAAAATAAAACGTACGAATTTTTGATTCATCCTAAAATAAAATGCACCTAATTTCGCGTCTTCCTATATCTTTTTTCTCTAATCGGCATATATATGTTACGTTGTATACGCGCGTGCGTTTAGTTTCTCGATCGAAGCAGACATTTTTTTGTTTGGATCGAGAACGACTGTCGAAGGCGAGTTAAATCGATTCGAACGGGTTCGTTCTGTAACTGCTTATTAGAGTAATAGGATTTCTCGATGCCGCGTTCTGTTCGGATTAGAAATTATTTCTTCTCGTATAACGATTAGGTATATTATCTTTGCCGATCGATTTTTATGCACGAACAAGTAACGCAACGCAACTTTTTTCCTAGTCCTTAGCAAAAATAATTGGTTGTGTAAAAACGTTGCGCAGATTCACCCACGACCCCGAAACGAAGCATCCTCCCCCGCCACCCCATAATAATGAGCGATTGCGGCATCTGCTTTGTGTTCGTCTCGTTCATTTTACTACGCGAAGCATGCTTTATTTTTTCCTTTTTTTCATCTTTTTTTTTTTTATTCTTTTATTGATATATATCTATATATACCTCCTATAGCTCTTGCTACCATTTTTTTCTTTTAATCAACGTTACTTTTTTTCCACCCAAGCTCGGAAAGCTTTAATCATAATATCGTCGTAAGCTTTATTTGTTATTTCGTATTATATTTTTTGAATCTTTTTGGCTCGTTTGCATCGTGACGATGATATCAATGGGGGATACAGTGCCGGCCGGTCTTGTTAGTAATAGTAGTAGTAGTAGTAGCTCGATTCATTGGCACAAATTTTTGGCATAGAAGCCTATTTTATTATATATACTATATATATTTATATATTGCAATTTGTTATTCGTATATATCACTTATTTCCAATCGTAGCAATATTTCGTATTATTCGTTGTTGGATCATCGATCGATCGCAAGAAACGATTTTTCTTTTTTATCGAGCTTGTGACTCGGAACGACTAGCAATGTATCCCGAATTTAAAAATGAGAATTTTTTATTTTTTTTAGGTAACCTTAGATGCGATTATCGGCTCGCAAGATTACAATTCTTACTTGCTAATACTTTGGTATAAGTTTGCTCGATCACTGTCGCTTTGTATACTTCGCTTAGGTATCGTTAGTCGCCGTTAGAAGCTAATTCATTTAATTTACTAAAAATTAAAGACTACCGGTTGGACGTTTGGCTCTCTCTTGCTCCTAGGGTGTCATTGGCTTTGTAATCTTTTTCTGTTTTCTTTAAAGATGAATATCTTAGAGATTGTAGTCAATTCGTACTTTGAAAAGATTACTAAAGAAGAGAAATAATTCGAGTCCGAGAAGGAGAAGTCTAAAATCTTTGGGAAACCTTTTCGATGAAATTTCGAGTATTCGTCGCTTCCTGGACTCTTGTCTCCCAAGGACACCCGATACATATATATATATATATGTATATCTATACACACTTACATATAATAATTATGCAAGCTGAACCATATAACGTTCGAAAAATGAATTCCGTTTGAATAATTAAATACCGTTGATGTAGTAATGGAGTTTTGATTGAAACTCATTTTTATAATAATTAAATGATCATTTATAATTGCATTGAATTGAAAAGCTCGTTCGTTGGAATATTATTATGTTAAACGTTATAGGGTTCATTCTGTAAGCATTAATGATGGTTGATTAGCAACTCCTACGTGTAGTGTTCGCAATCCCCACACTCCGATAGTGTGGGAGTGGACGGACACTAGGTGGGATTTGGATCCTCGTAGGCCTTTTCGTAGTCCCGCCGACGGATCACTGCAAAATGGGTCATCTGGAAGGAGTTGGTCTTCTTGCAGCCCCGTTCCAACGTACCCGTCATGCTGTACCCCATGTTAAAGTCGCTCGATGACACGTTCGACGTCAGGTACAACTGCGAACAGAGATAAATCGTGCTGATGTCAGATTGTAACCTTCCACGGGACAAGCTGAGAAAGATAGTTCTGTCACCTTTGAACGATTCTCCGCTAGATTTATAACCTAAGGGTGTGTTACTCTCGATCATACGAAGATCATGGATCTTGGAAAATAATCGGAGTATAAAAATCAAAAACAATTATCGTTCTTTAAAGATTTTTCTTTCGGAATTTATTAGTTCGATTAAAATGTTGATCGTGTTAACGTTCCACGTTACGTTTCGAGTCGTTGGAAATATAACAAGCATGGAATAAAAAGAAAAAGGAAAGGATAGGAAAAAAATATTGAAGAAGGACAACGTCGCGGGCGATCCATCTTTATAATTATGTTCGTTAAATCTTTCACCCGTGTTCTCGCGTTGACCTCGAATTCGAAAAACTGGGTTAAACACGGCGCGGAAATATTTAATGACCGACACTGGGATGGACTTGCCCCGTGTTTTCTCTCTCTCTCTCTCTCTTTCTCTCTTTGTGGTTTTCACGAAATTTGACCTACTTTGTTATATAACTTTTTCTGCTTTTTCCTTTTCCTGTTTTTTTTTTTTTTTTTAAACAATCGCATCAACGCGAAAGGACGCGTGTTACGTAGCATACGGAAGAAAGCTTTTAATAACGTGCCTTCAAAGTACCTTTGTATATACGTGTATATGCATATATATATAAATTTCTATATAACATAGCACTTTGGTATAATCGTGCTACTTTGGCCTCGGGCCGACCTCTTTCGGCCGAAAACTCCGAACAATGCATAACTGACAAGCTAGAACCACTGTGTACGCGTTTTCTCTTTCTCACGTACTTTATTTCTAGTTTTTTTCCTTCCCTTTTCCTTCCTATTTTTTGTTTTACCTTTCCTCTTCTGTCGAGTTCAAACATAATCCAAAAATTCGGATCCTCGATGAACAACGATAAACTTTCAGGAAACAAACACTTAATTTCTCATTAATTCAATAAAGAAAATGTGATTGTTGATTAAAAATTGATTAAAATCATTTATTTTATTTCTCGATCAGTTTTCCTCCTTTTGAAACTTAATTATATTTGAATCGAATTCCGGACAAAGCAATTTATTAAACATTATCGCTCGTAGGAACGATACAACACAACCTTAACAAGATGAAAGTGCCGTGAAAATTGTCAGCTCGTATAATCGACTTGCTCTCTTGCGAGCCATTAGAGAGGCGCGAACTTCGTTTTCAAACTAGACTACTAACGAGAAGAAACGCGTATGCGTAACATAGTACCTTCTACTACTACTATTACTATTTGTTCGTGAAACTACCACCACTATTATTACTTACTACGACTAGGATGACGACAACGAACCTGAGAAACACTTAGAATTATTCTCTTACTCTCTCTCTCTCTCTCTCTGTAGACCTTCCCACGAGATCACACTTTGCACGTTTGCGAAGATATTAGATGATAAAATAGAATTAGACGTTTCTATTATTGTGTCTAGCGCGTGCGTGAATAGTTTGGCATATCAATCTAAAAGTTTTCAGTAGAAAATCTATCTAATTGATCGAAAGTACACACGTAAATGTAATATTAATATTAAATTAAAGCAATTTGTCTCTCTTTCTTTTTGTTTTAATTGATTGAGTAATTGAGAAATATAACAATTCATGGAAACATAGAATATTCTTCGACTAAAAAGCAAGCTTTATGAAAATATTAATATTTCAAATGATCGATTCTACTATCATTCATTTTCCAATGAAACTTTTTCGAACTATCTATCTCTTTTACTTTTACTTTAGAAACTTGACGCGAAAAACACGGTAATAGACGATATAAGAAGGAAAAATTCAGTGAAGGCATAATAACGAATGTATAAGAAGAACTGCATTCTATCGTTAGAAAGGATGGATAGATAAACGGGAGAAAATTTGACGATACCACAAAACTCGTCTTTTCTAAGATGCAAAGGTTTCTGTAGGAACAGGTACGCGTGAGATCTTCAAATATGTATCCAAATGCTATAGCTGTATAAGAACTATTTCAGGACGAATGCATGTACGTCCTAGGAATGACTAGGGCTTCCGTTGAGGATTCCTCGAGACGAGACTTTTCAATATATGTGTGTGTGTGTGTGTATATCTACATATATTTTTCAAATAACCATGACTTCCTCGTCTATCGATTTTGTTTCCTTTCTTTCTTGGAGAAAAAAAAGAAAAATCTCAAAGAATATCTCGTAGAAATTCACACCTTTATGGGTGGCAACAAAATGAAAGAGTGAGGGAGAGAGAGAGAGAGATAGCGATAAAAGAGGATTTTGTTGGAGAACACAAAAGAGAAGTACTCCTCCATACTACTATGTGCAAACTCTATGTATTTCCTTTTTATTACGTGTAGGAGAGGATACTTTAACCAGGAAATCCTCGATTTAACGCAGCTGCTTTTGCAGGAAGCGTTAGAAACGTTTTCAACGTTGCTTCTACAAGCGCGAACGTGGCTTTGATTACACGAAGTATTAGAATTCGTGCAATTTTACGAAATAACCGTAGCGTGATATTCAAAGTGAATGTTGCAATATATATATACAGAGAGAGAGAGAGAGTAACAGGGATAAATAGAGGCAAATCCGAAGTTTCTAATTTCCCTCCAATGAAATTCCTTTAAGTACTAAAAAGAAACTCCTTTTTGAATGACACGGACCATCTTTCGAGCGTTGATATTTTAATTGCAAATTTGATTTGCTATGTTGATTTGCACTTTAATTTCCTATCGTATAAATGTCGTGCAATTTTATTCATCAAACGTTCGTCTGAAAAATCGCGAATGTTTAGAAATTAATTTTTATTAAATAATAATATAAAGAAGAAACGAGATGAATATATAAAATAAAGATAAAATATACGAGGTCAGATATTTTTCAACGATTGTCATTCTTTGTCAAGGGAAGGAATAGTGTAAGAATAATTCACGTGAAAATATTTCTCATCGGAGATTTTATCGAAACGTTTATGCATTCCATCTCTCTTTCTCTCTCTCTCTCTCTCTCTCTCTGCTTTCGAACGAGCTACAAAGGATCCTTCGGGAAGCTTTTTCACGCGATATTTCACATTTTTCGTTTGCACCGAGTAAAACATTTCTCGTACTATTTGAAACATTTCTTTTGATGTGCCGCCGTGGTGTTATATTAACGACCAACTAAACGAGACTTTCTTACTCTCCAGTCTAATGTACTCTTGCTTTCCTTCCTTTTTATTTTTACGATAATATATGTATTATACGAAGGAAAGGAAATTTCCAATTGATAAAACCGTAAACCGTATTACCACGTAACACCACCTTTCTTCGTTCGATGACTCTTATAAAACAAAGCTGTTCCATTTGCTCGTTGAGTACTTTCATTTCCGTTAACAACACAATTATCGTTTCGCGAAATTATAATTTCATTGGTCGTCATTATTCATGAAACTCGGTTAATCGATTTCCTCTCTTTCTCTCTTTCTTCCTCTCATTGGGGAAAATAGATTAATTGTTGATTCTTTAGAACCAGTTGCTCGAGAGAAACAAATTTCAACGTATTGGAAAGTTCATGGCAACTCGGGAAAATTGAATAGAGTAAAAGACTAAGGACCTAGATAGGAAAAGAGAGAGAGAAAGAGAGAGAGAAAGAGAGAGGGATAATGAATGAGAGAAAAAGGAATGAGGGAGGGAGGGTACTTGGCTAACATTGAAATTTTCACGAACCATCTCCTTTTGTTACGTTCGGGGTAGCTCTCGCGAAAAAATAATTCATGGAACGTTGAATGAGTTATGGGCTCGACAAAGAAATTACGAGAGGACAAAGGTCACTCGACAAATCTGGAGATAATCCAACGAGTCTGTAACGTCCCGATAATGTTCTCAAAATCTTTTTCCTTTCTACCAACTTTTTTAAGCCATCTAGTTTTTTCTTCTTTTTCTTTTCTTTTTTTTTGTTGAAAAAAAAAGAAGAAAAAGTTAGAAAACGAATCCGACAAATTTTCAGGGCATTCTCGCTTACGAATTCAATGAAACATTCATCGTAATAACAGATTCTGTCCCTCGTATTTGGACTATTATTATAAAGCTTATCGTATGGTCATTCAAATTTCAAGTTAATTATAAAATCATTAGTTTGCATTTCAATTGATTTACCTTAAAATCGGGATCCGTCGTCATTCTTTTGAACGAGCCGATGATATAAAGGGTCCCCGTTCCCGTATCCACCATTTTTGCCTGAGTACTATACCTAAAACAAGAGAGAGAGAAAGAGATAGTTATAGAAAGAGAGAAAAAGAGAAAGAGAGAGAGACACACACACACACATACACACAAATAGAAAAGAAGAATAGAGCGTTAACGTTAACCAAAAACTGTTTTTCGATCGGCATCGTTCCATTCGATTTATATCGTACTCGTGATTGAAAATTCGAGTGGTCGCTTTTCGATAGCGAGAAAAAAAGTGTCCTCGTAACGGAGCAGCAACGAGTGCCGAATTCTTTTTTTTTTTTTTTTTATTTCAATTTCAATTTCTTTTCTCTTTTTGCCGGGAGTTTTTATCCTAGTTGACAACAGTAGCATTCACGTCTCGTAAAGGAAAAGATTTATAAAGAGTCCAAAAACTGTTATCAAATATTTTTGTAACATTTGTAACGCGTTTCTGTAAACTTCTCTCCTCTTACGTGTATCAAAATAATAAATGTATATTTAATGTGATAATAATTTGTAAAAAAAAAGCCGTGCGTATGAAATTTATATTCGATTGAGAAAAAGCATGGATACGCGAGGACAAAACTTCGAGGGATTTGTTCGCGAACGTTCCTCTTGCCAGAATATATGTACAAAAGCGTGAGATTTATAGTCTACGTAGAAAGAGTAGGGAAAATATAAAAAGATGCGAAAGAGAGAGAGAGAGAGAGAGAGAGAGAGAGAGAAAGATATAAGCATACAATACGCAGCAGCAACAGCACGTTTTCGTTGAGTAAAATTTTCCAGCTGTCGACGACAGACGACGCTAAAGCTTTTCACGTTTAGAGAGGGATGAAAATACGGGGGCGGGATGAGGATAGTTGGTAATAGTACTTCGACATTTTCCACAAAGAGTTTTACCGCAGCGTAAATCGGCCGTACGATTAGCTCGTGCCACGTGTGCGGTCGGCTAATTGAGATTTGTTTCATAAACGACGCTTTCTCTCTCCTTTCCAGCTGGCACTACATTCATTTCCGTAATTCACCGGACCTAGCTAGCTAGCTAGCTAGCTAGCTTGCCGCTTGGTTCTCTTGTTACAATATTTTATTACGAGTCTAGCTAGATTCTCTACGGACTTTTCCTCCCAACCTACTAAATATATATATATATATATATATATATATATACACATACATGTAGCTACCGTCATTTCGAATGTTGTCTACTAACGAATATACGTGCGTTTTTGGCGACACGTGTGAATTACAATATTAATCATTTACAAAGGGAGAGAGAGAGAGAGATTATATTTTTCTTCGCAAAAAATACAAAAATACGTATTATTATATAATTCTTACAGTTGGATAAAATATTAGAGGTACTCGTTAAACGGAACAAACCGTAAGTTCATCGTTATAAAATGAAGAGTTAGAAGAAATCTTCTTGGAGAAGAAGAAGACTCTTCTTCCTCCTCCTCCTCTTGTTCTTTTTCCTCTTCTTCTTCCCACACGTTGACGCAAGTATTAATTTTACAAGGCGTAACGTAGAGCGGGCAATTCGTTTTGAAATTTTAATGAAAGGAACTCTCGCAAAAGCGTATGCAAGATAATCCCATTACTCTAACCATTCCGTGCTCCGGAGCGCCACTTTAGCTCGCATAAAATTAAGTGCCAAGGAAGAAATGAAAAAAGAGAGAAAAGGGGGGCAGGGGCAGGGGCAGGGGCAGGGGCAGGGGCAGGGGGAGATAGAAAGAGAGAGAAAAGAAAAGCGAATAAACGGCCGGTGTCCTCCCGTGACCGTACGCGAATTACGTGTGAAACACTCTAAAACATAAGCCTCTATCTCTTACACTCTACAAAGAACATTTTATTTAATGATACTATCTCGATGTTAATCAAATCTTTTACGTATACGACTCTTTTCATTTGTTTCACACATAATCGCATCTTCATCGTTATACGTCAAATTGCATGCAATTGTATTTTACAATTTCGGAATATAGGTTGAATATTTCTCGATCCACGAATACGAAAATTCGAAGAAAACTGTGTGACGATTTGCAAAAGAATTTAAAAGAAATTCGACCAACACGTGGTTGTGAATTTAAGGGTTTGAAAAAATAAAGAGACACAACTAAAAAAAGACCTCTAGGATTTTCCTTTGTGGGAACACGATCATACAGACAGAAATAGAAAAAGGAAAGAAAAATAGAGAAGTCAAAGCAGCCGCCGCCATAGTGGATTTTAAAGCGAGTGTCGGATCCGGCGCACTTCAATGGAGAGCGTTTAAACTTTTAATGATCGTCGCCGGTTCAAGCGGCCGCCGGAATAAGCCCCTCGAGTCACCCTTTCCAGGGGCGTATCAAGCACCCCGTCAACCCCCCGTCAACCCCCTACCTTTATCGCCACCGCCACCACCACCACCACCTCCGCCGTTCTTCGAGTTGTAGAAAAGCACCCTCGGTTGGTTTCGGCGCGTCCTCTTAGAATCGCTTCAACGACCTTCCTTCGTTTCTCCCTTTTCCCTTTTCCCTTTTCCTTCTTTTCCATGTTACCCAAGTTCGATGTAACAAGACTACTACCCACGTACTACACGTGTTCGGCAAAGAACGAGACAAATGTCGATACGAGTCGTTGACCCAAAAATCACGTGACTTCTTTCAACCAGACACCCCCTTTTTCACAGTTTTCTTTTCAAATCATACATCTCTTTTTCTTGTCTTCCATCTGGATTTGATGATATATCAATTATATACGAGTACAAAGTTTCCAAATAATTATTTCAACATTATCCATAGAATATTTTCAATACTCAACTTGTTATTTGTCAAATCGCGTGACTTCTTTCACCCCTTTGATAGTTTTCTTTAAATCATAGATTATTTTTCTCTCTTTTCTTCCATCTGGATTTGATGATATTTCAATTATGTACGAATACAAAGTTTGCGAATAATTATTTCAATATTGACCAAAGAATATTTTCAATACTCGGCTTGTCGCTTTGTTTGCAGTTCGAATTTCCTTTTAATCATTGGAATATGATAAAGCAAACACTCTCTGGGAAATAAAAATCTATCAAAGTATGAATAATAATAATCGAATAGAGAAAGATGAGTATTGGTAATTCAAATAACGGGACAAAACTAATGGAATACGGGGATACACGCGTGGGTTTGTTGTATCCCGTAACCGTTGATTGGAAGCATCGATGCGGCGTTATTTAAAATAACCTAATTTAGTGTGTCAGGAATGGGATCTAAAGCCAAGCTATGTGTCAGAATTAATGTTGGGCATCGATAACGGTTTGCAACGCGACAGATCGAAGCCTCTTGATGGATCAATGCGCTTCTATCTTTTTTTTTTCTCTCTCTCTCTCTCACACACTTTGCTGCTAGATAGAAGATAATAGGAGAGGGACGATATCGAAGGTTGCACGAAAAACAAAAAAAACAAAGCGAGAGGTGGTCAATTTTAATCCTGCGTTGAATCAACGACGCGTTACCGTGAACAATTTATCGATAAGCGTCGATTTTATCAGTTCCCCTATTCACCCTTTCCCCCCTTTTCACCTATTTTCACATCCCGGCGTCGCTTCTAATCAGAGAAATCATAAATATAACAACGGGGTTGGGTGGTGGTGGTTGGTAGGGAAGAATAGTGACGGTAGTAATAGCGCGTTCGTTCGCATCGACGCTAATTAAAATTTTATTCGAAATCGCGTTTGTGCTATGCTTTGTCTCTTTGTGTGAACGAGTCTCCTATATGCCATGTGCACAAGAACGATTCTAATTAATGAAATAATGGGAACGTGATAATAATCGAACTCGCTCTGTCTCATTCCCAGTTCCCGTTGTATTGTTAAAGAGAATCTACTATACATTGCATTGGAATACCCAGAGAGATACTCTCCTGTATAATATTATATATATGCAATACGTAGATGCATAAACAAGGGTGTCGGAAAAGTCATCTCTATGTGATAGCCTAGAAATCGGATAACTGTATAGAGAATTGATTTGTTTTCAAATGCCCTCCCATTTCTTCGTATCTTTTTCTTTTGATCCATAAACATCGAAACATCCAGCATTTCTTTATAATGAATGCTCTATTTTTTTCCCGATTCATGCTGTTTTTCTGGAAAATATCATTCGTAGAAGTAAACATTTTCTTTACCCCACGTTAATCACGCATTTCTATGTAGAGTAACATACGCTGCTAGAGAAATCCCAATGTAAGCGGATTTTCCTAACCCGATATGAACGAACGTAGAAAGAGAGAGAAAGGGAGAGAGGGAGAGAGAGAGAAAAAGAGAAATATATAGAGTCTTCAATGGTAGAAGGATATCACCCGATAGCAATACCTTTGATGGTGCATCGTTTTGCAAATAAATCTAAGTTGAAACAGCAAATCTAAATACACATAGAGCATCTTCGTATATTACTCTTCGTGCGTTTTACTAGCTATGATAGATGACGTTAATATATAGATATAATTTAAGAGAGAGATAGGAGATGGAGAAAGAGAAAGAGAAAGAGATGCACATACATATATATAGGAGTAATAAGTTGATTTTCAAGAGAGCAAGGAACGTTTATTTGCTAAGGTCGGTCACTCGTTGAATCATCGTTCGAGATGTGAGTCACGGAACTTCATTTAGGAATAGAGATACATATTAGAAATGTTAGGAGAAGACTCCTACACTCTCGAGCAAACTTCATCTAGTGCTAAGTAAACTCTAAGAAAATATGCACGGAACGAGATCTTACGAGGAAGTATAGATAACCTTTTTAAACACCAAGCAAGTACTCTCTTTCTCTTTCTATTTTTCTTCTATTCCGTACGTGATCGAGCGTATATTTTCATGCGTGCATATACATATTTAAAAGAGAAAAGTAAAAAGAACATTTTCTTTTAGGCACACTCGAAACGTATAGGATACCAGACAAAATAAATTCGTATTCGTTTCAACATATAATTTAAAAAGTATCTCTAAATAAAAATAAATAGGAAAAGAATTTTCATCTCCGACAAAAGTTAACTTTTGCCAATAGAATTTTCAATTAGTCGAAGCATCTTGGTCCGAAGAAAAAAAATGTCCATCAGGAAATGACGTTTCTGGTATGAGATATAAAAGTAGGTCATCGCGAAAGACGTTCCGTTTCGAAGACAGTAGATTTTCTTTCTCCTTTGTTCGTTCGATTTTCTTCAAAGCTTATCCAGTACCAACCACCAGGATGGCGGAAAAGAAGCAATCGAAGGAAAGGAGCAACTAATGCCCCGACTACTTTTGCGGCTCGGATCGAAGGAAGGGATGGATCGCAATAAATCGCGAGCTCCTTATCAATTCGGCTGGCAACCCGAGCTCTTAACGGCTCTGGAAATCTACGCGAGTAGTAGAGGAAACTTAGGCGAGTCCTACTTTCCTAAGGTTATACGTTTTCCCCCTCCAATCACCTTCTCCTAGAACCTAATCTTATTCAACCTATTGAACTATTTTTTTTCCTTCTACGTTATCTCACACGAGAAAAAGAGAGACGTGGGGGGATTATCGAATAAATTAATTATCTTAAAGATATAACATCTGCGCAATTGAATTTATAATTCTTTTTCCTATGGTTTTTTACCTATGACGAGTTTTTAGAAAGAGCCCATTATAATTACTGTAAATTTTTCAACTGCAAACGTTTAACGTAGGTATATTTTAAATATCGATAATTATAACCAAATTAATTATCTCACTTAAGTCTATATGAGATGAAAACGATACATCTTTACTTGAAAATGAGCTTGCTGAATCTTTTATGAAGTTCTAATTAGTTCGAAAAATTAACGTAAAAGATCAAAGAAGAGGACTGAAAGTAAGGAAGGGATGGTCTTTACGGTGTACCTTGCCGATGTTTGATAAACGACTAAGTTGCACTTCATGGTGAATACAAAAATTCAGTAAATATTTTGGTGGGATTGATTAAATTTCATTTTTTCCAATGAATCGAACACATTTGGAATAGAATGACCTGTTATTCGTGAAATTATTAATAAATATGCGAAAGTACAGATCACGAGTGCAAAGAATTAAAATGAGTGTAACATTTTATTCGACCAATCGTGTTACGATATACCGAGACTCGTTTAGTGATTAATGTAACAATAGTTATACACGATAACTAATGCCGGGGGTAATATAAAAGTTTTTTATAGTCTGGAGAAAGAATCTCCTTCAAAGTACCTACCTACTTTGGAATTCTTTAAATATTCAGGACAATGGTAGTTAAAGGGGAAAAATGGCTTCATTCTGAGTCAAGAAAGAATAAAAGGAATAGAATGAACGGATAAAGGTCGAAGGCCATCGAAAATTCAGCTCGTTCTCTCGAGTTCTCTAAGGGTTAATGGGATCGGTAAGGAAGGTACGTTAGTTGAAGAAGAAGAAGATCGGGAAGGTAGATAAAAAAAGAAAAGAACGGGGAATAAAGAAGAAGAAGAAGAAGAAGAAGAAGAAGAAGAAGAAGAAGAAGAAGAAGAAGAAGAAGGAAAAAGGGAACTACTGGCCAGTGGCATCGGAATCGTTTTTTTCTCGTCATTTTCGGTTTAACCTTAACGCACGAAACGGCCTTGATAGATATTCCAACCACGTAAGCTGCACAAGCTCGAATTTCCGCTTGCCAGAGGAATACGATCAGCGTCGAAACATCATAACGGTATACATACGTGTTGTCTATCTCGTTTCATCTCTCTCTCTGTCTCACGTTGTTTCTCGTCTGACCCCATTAACGTTGGTAGTCCGTATTATCGTCGCATTGATATTACGTACGTTTCGAAAAGCATCGAGAATGGAACATTGCCCGAGATCAAAGGCATTATATCCACGAATATTCGCTTCGATTATTCCGACTTTGAACTCCTTGCACTCAGGGTTCCTAACACGAATGATTTTAGGATAGTTTCCGAAATAATAGGGTAGCGGGTAGATTCTTTCTTTGCGAAGAAAGGTCTACTTCAGGGACGCGACCCTGCCCACGCGATTCTCTCCTATCTCCAAAAATTGAGAGGAATCAAGTCCTTATCCGAAATCCTGCCCATAAACCTTCCTACATCACTTCCTATCCAGAACATTACAGAAGGGCTATATCGAAAAGTGGACTACACAAAAAGTGAGGGATGATAATGGTTCCAAAATCATTAAGACTACGCGTAAATGTTGAACTATATATGACTTACCTTCTGGTTCCAGCAACTTCGACGACTTTGCACCGACTTCGACTCCACCAGAACGGTGTCAATGTCCAATAGGAACTGCTCGCACTCCTAGCCCAACCTTCTTCTGGAAATAATAGGACCTGTAACCAAAATTACGATATACCTTATGTAGGAATTGTAATGATTTTTAGGACTCTCTTTTAGGGGTATATTCTTTTATTCCGGCATATATAACACTTTATATTTCGTCAAAAAATTTCTCTCGCCCTCTTTTTCCTTGACTTTTTTTAATTTTTTTTTTGGCTCGACGAGTACTCTTGGTCCTTCTTTTTCAAAATTCTACTATCACGTGCAAAAGAAACAGAGTAGGAGGATGGAAAGAGGGAGAATAACATGCGAGTGGAATATTGAAATACCCTAGGGCCTCTCTTTCTGTCGCTTTCTCTCTCTCTCTATCTCTCTCTCATTCTTTACTCTAGAAACGTAAACGAGCTAGGATAGTAGATGTACTATGTAGGTGCATACGGATTGTCAGAGAGTTACAGCAGCACGTTCCAGGCATCGTGCTTCATGGAATCTGCTTGCACAATGTTCGCTTGCACGGTGCTCGCCTTTTGTACTGCATCGTCCGCCAAGGACGAACGAAAAGAAAGCCTTTTCAATTTCCCCGACGCGTGACTTTTGACTTTCGTGTGATCTTTCGATGAAGGTATCAAGTTATCTTTGCACGTACTCAACAAACGAACAATAGTACTAAACCCAAAAGAAAATAAATTTCTTTCTCTCTACTTTATCATCGAATAGTAAAATCGCTTGATTCAACTATATCGAATTGTTTTAAAATAGTACGTCAAGTTTATTTTTGGATATGGTATAATAATATATTAATAGTTTTTCTTGTGTTAATTGTATAATATTTAGATCGATTGAATCTATAAAGAATATCATCAGCGATGGTTTTCAATTCAATCGATATCGATCTGTCAGTAAAAAGTAGATATTGAACGTTTAAGCACGTTTCATAGTATTTATTAAGACAATCGAATCGTATTTCCGTCAATACGATATTAGTTCCAAGAAAAAGCTTTATACGATCAACGATCACCACCACCAAGTCCGATAACATTATCGTCATAACTAATATTTGAATAATAACATAGTACGTAGATTGAATCGAAGATTTGAATGATTTTCCAATATTCCTCGACGATACGACGTTTCTATAGAATTCCATGAATGAAAATAAAGTAAGATAAATTAGTTGGACTCGTAGAGAAAAAGCTTTGAGCTTTATAGCGAAAGTCGTTTCGCTCGGTTATGCTTTCATAGAAAAGGGAATAAGGAAAATGGGGAAGGAGACTCGCGTTCTGCATCGAATATTTTCTCGCGTCAGTGAGTTTCTTAACGTTTCGACTTTCCGGTAATCTCGAGCCTACTAGGGCGAATACCGGTCGAAGTTATGCCAACTCGAGAATTTTCATCAGCAAGGCAAGATTCAGTTGAGAAAGAGGAGAAAGGATAGAAAAAGAGGGGGAGGGTTGGCAGCTGCTTGATCGAATCCCGAATTACCGCAGGATGTCTCGTTGCCAAAACTTCTTAATTCGTCGTTTTGGAACGACCGAAGGAAGGAACGAACGAAAAGGCTTCGAAGACGATTTACTCTCTGCAGTAGGTGAACGATTGGGTGAAGGAGCTCGAAACACGTACCAATGCGCGTCGCGATTTTATCGACTCCCATGGAATTGCATTCGACCCACGTAAACAGAAATATCGAGATCCTGGCACAAGACCTTTATCCTCTATACCGTTTTCCAACTTCTGCAAGATTTAACAAATTCGTAAGAGACTTTGGGATATTGGGCAAGACGACGAGTTTGTTTCCCCGAACCAAGTAAGTTGGAATTCTCTTTAGGGTGCAGTTTTCAAGTTCATTTGCAAGCCCATTTTGCGAACGATCAAACTCGATCTCGTTAGCGAGTCCTTTTTGTTAATTTATCTTAAATTATTATCAATAGATCTAGGGAGACACTTGTTTTTTTCTTCAAATATTCGAAATAATATTACGAATAGAAATTGTACTTTTGATCGAACTCGCGCAACGAGAGACACTGCCAACGTTTCTAAAATGAAAGAGAGAGAGAGAGAGAGAGAGGACGAGGGAGAAGAAAAATAACAACGTCAACGAATACGGATTACGAACACTATCGAACCTCTTTTCATCCTACAGGCAGATCCCGACGAGACAGACAGCTTTTCTCGGTATTCGACCATTCAAATTCGAAAACGTGAAAGCCGACGCGGTTAGAAATCCAGCGTGTGGCCCCCGGTCACTAAAGTATTCACAGAGCCGGAAACAATCCCAATGAACTAGCTCGTTGCTCTACCTGCCAATTATTTGCTCGCCAACTACCATCCAAATTCGCGTGATTACGACTGTATTTTGTACGTTTCAATCCACCGGCACCATTCGCCATTAGCACTACCACCACCACCACCACCACCACACCACCACCATTACCAACAGCACCATCACCTATCGATTCGATTTCGCACGGACGCCGATGCGGACGCGTCGATTATCCAGCCAGTTTCCCGGAAACGTTTATTTTTTCAAGCCTACACCTAGGAGAGGAACGTAAATGCTCGCGTAAAAATGTAAAAAGTAAAAAAAAAACAGTCTTTCGAATACCAATCGAACGATTTAATCGCATTGAAAAAACATTACTTCCAAGCGCATTTATCCCCTAGTCCGATACATATATACTTAATTGCTAAGTGCGTTATCGCATACGAAGGAATAATTTGCGCGTATGATTGCGCTTGGGAATGCAATTGCACTTAACGAGACTAACGTATATTCAGTTGCATCTTAAACGTGACTACTACGTTCGTTGGTTGCACACGTGTACAACACATTTCAACCGAAGTTAAAATCTTCTTCGAGCAAAGGCTCCTCCTCTCTGATAAACACGCGTAACGGTTGTAGAATTTTATATCGTAAAGAGACTACGTGCATTCTCTTTTTTTTTTTTTTAAATTAAATAATAATTTATTCTTTCCTTCTCTATATTCGTTAAACCGTAATGCCTTATAAAAATCTGTTGGTAGAATTTATGAAAAGAAAGAAAGAAAAAAGAAAGAAAAAAGGACAAGAAAAGAACTCTCTTATTCGTTTAAACGCGAAGGTCTAAACTCTCCTCGTTAATGCGATCGCACATGTGTCTTTCAATGTATTCGCAATACACGCATGTGCATATACATTGAATGACTCGAACGTAGAAAGTTGAGAAAAGACTCCGAAGGTTTTGCACCCTCGTGGTTTGAACAAAGTCTACTACTATACACATCCATGTAACCTCCTCCCTGTTGAGCTCTTTTCAAAACGAGACTCGTATACGTAGTCTAGATGGTATATAAATGTGCGTTTGCGTGCTAACTGAAAATAATTACGAAAATACTACCCTTGGCTTGGATATCTCAAAGGGAAAGAGAAAGAGCCCGCGCAATTACGAATATTGCTGGGTTTGTAAACCGATGCTGGCTTGGTCCATACCACACCGAGTCCGAGCAGCAACAGCAACAGCATCCTTGCTTCGTTTCATCTAATACATTCGTGGCTTGCCTCTGTTCACCCTCCCCCTTTCTCTCCCCCTTTTCCCTCTTGGAATACCCATAACATTTACCTACTCTACTACTATCCCTTCGTTTCAATAAAAAAATATATCAAAGCAGACATAACTCGTCTGCCTCCAATTCGAAACGAGAACAAATAGATCTATTTTCCTTTTTTCTTTTTTTTTTTTCCTATTTCTTTTTCTCATTTCTCATTTCTTATTGCAACATTCAATATAAAACTGCTTGAGGTTTTAGTAAACAAATTTAATATGAAAAAGAACTCAACTTTTTAACTCTTCTTTATTGCGAAAAAAATTAAAAGAAAAGAAATAAAATAAATGTATATAAAAGTGTACTTTTTGAATAATAACGCGACTTTCAATTTCGTAGATTTCTACGACTCTTTTCTTCTTTGGACACAAAGAACTCCTTCTGTAAGTAATTACAAGCGTTTTATTATGACTCCGCTTAAAAAGAATGTAATTTCATTATGAATTAAAGTTCTATCAGTTTTTTCTTTACAATTATATTTGCGCACGCACACACATAATGGATATTTTATATTACTTTCGAATAAAATAGGTGAAACTTTACAAAGAGTAAAGGTCGATAGAGCAACGAAATTCAATCTTATCGAGTCGTTTCATTTTCTCATCGAATAGAAATAAAAAAAAAAAGAAAAATAAAAAATGGAAAGAAGAATAATAAAAATGCGTATATAAAATTCATTAAATTCACTTGGCCGCCGTGTGCGAATACGAATACGAATACGAAACGAAAGGAAAAAAATAAAATAAAATGGGAGGTATTTTTAACAAAATCAGGGCTGCTAAAAGAATGAATTAAATACTGCAGTAAAGAGAGTTCAACGTTTAAAAGAGGGCTTGTACAAAAATTCAAGCCATTTGAATTTTGGTATAGTTAACTTGCCTGCCCTCATCTACCTACGAGAATCTCCTTCTCCCTCTCTCTCTCTCTCTCTCTCTCGCTCTCTTTTGTAATTCTCATAGTTTTGGCAGTATACGCGTAGGAAATAAAAAATGAATAAAAAGAATAAGTATAAACGAACAAAAATAACAAAAAATAAAAACAAAAGGATGTAAAAAAACAAAAAATTGTAGGATACGATTCGAGAAGCGAATACAAACGTGTTGCCTCCTGGCAAACTTGTTTCCCCCTTCTCCTTTTCTTTCTATTTTCGTTTCTCTTTTCACGCGCATCGCAATGCTCTTTCCCTTCGTTCTACCTTCCGTTTTTTCCATATATATATATGCATGCGCATGTCTGCGTATACGTAGGAATCTTTATACAGCGAAAATTATGAGGGTAGGTTTTGAAAGAACGAGACAGGTAGAGTGGTGTAGCTACAGAAAAGAAAAAGATGGAAAAACAAAAGCAAGCTACGTTTTGACACATCAATGATTATATATTCTTAATTAATAAACAAACAAAAAGAACGGGGAGGAAATGTGTTTGAACATTTAGAAATATTCTTTCTCCTATGCGACATGTTCTTCGACAAAAC